GTCAGTCAAAATGCATTTGAAGAAACGGTCTTATTTTTGCTGTTTTTAGGCGGTGAAGTTTTTGGGATATATTGTTACGTTTCGAAAATGTCTTCTTTTCCTATTTGAACATTCAGTAAACAAGCTCATCCACGCAGTAAATGCAGTAAAATTTTGAATTGACAAATAAGTGTTTTTCAATTGATATGTAATCGAAAATCACGAATATCAGAACTATCCAGATAGTCCTATATTATTGATACCGAACGCAGCTTTGCCAGGTCCTTGGGTCCTAGGCCGCATATCTTTGGTTAGTAACCACCACCTGTTTGCCGCATGTGCATTATCTTTTCTGGGGTGCGCCCCAATTATTTACTTCCTCATGAGTGTCACTTACTACGCATCGTCCACCAGTTATCGATGTGATGAGCAGTATACGCTGCCCATCGGATTTTGATCTCTTGCGTTACCGCAATGATATCCTGCATGCCGCGCATCTGTTGGAAAGTCTGATTGCTTTTGTGGTTACAAAGGAACACTTCAAGCAGCCTTCACTCCAATCGTTGTCTCCGTCACAGCCAGCGCTTTCGTTAGTGATCACGTTCCTCATCCGTACTTCATTGCCTTCAATGCCATAAGAGGTGAACCGGCTGTTTCCGACTGAAAACTGAAAAAATCGGCTATATAGAATTTGTGCCAACCGGCATCCTTTCGACGTGCAATCTCCGGCCGGAGTTTAAAGCGCATTTTCAATTCTTGTTCAAGATAGATCTAGCTGCCGATTCCTTTCAAATCAAATCAGTGGACGTGACGCATTGTGATTGATGGTTCCGCGGGGAACTAAACGATCGGTCGGGTGACCGTTGAAGATCTGGCTTACATAGAGTAGGCGGAGGATACTAACTGGAAATGTGCAGCCCAGGATCGAAAGAGCTACGACCGGCGCGTGTGAGCAGCCCGGTAGCATCACCAGCATTTGATGTACCAACTGATTGCTCAGACAGTTTTGTTATAAATTTCTAAACCGTCAACTTTTGGGGGATGATCTAAGTCAGAAAAGTCAAGAACTAAATGTGGCATACACGCGTCATATGTCATATTCTGTCAAAGCCTCATCGGCAGCCTTGATAGTAGGGGTTGCGGCTTGCGTTTGTTACCGCTCAACCTACTTCCCGAGTGCATCCACCTCTCACAGAGGACGAATACGGGAGGGGTTTTGTCACTCCTTTTGGCATACACATATATATGCCATATTTTAATATATATCATATATCAGTACACATATCGTGCATTAATATACATATGCATTAATATACATGTCGTGCATTAATATACATATCATGTATTAATATACATATTATATATTAATATGTATATACCTTTTTTCCTCTATGCATATATTGTTATTTATGTGCATTGGTATATTAATATGTGTGTACCAGAATGAGGGTCAAAACCCGTTCCGTATTC